ATCATGTTGCCCCTGCATCAGGAAGTCATTAATTTATTGGCAGTTTTACTACACCAATAAATGAATACATCCTCTGGTGAAGGCTGCACAGCATCATTGGTTGCCAAGAAATTGTTGTCAGACAGTGTCTTAGCAACTCGTGGGCACCTCGGGAGACATTATTGACCAAATATGGTCATGAGCATATTTTGTCAATGACGTCACACAGCTCCTGTCCCCTTTGTTTACATTAAGCTAGGAGTTGTCATGTGCGATGTAGAGTTCATTTGCATTATAACTGATGAGGATCTGCATCGCGGGATGACATGATTGATGATGGATTTACATAATGGGATTTTGTTTAAAAATAAAGGACTTACTTATTCATGTGGGGAAAGTGGATATCTGGGGGCCCCCTTATTTTTGTGTGGAGTACCCCTTAAATTCTGGACCCTCATCAAGGATAAAGAAGGATCATGGATTTTGAGGGAGAACCCCATACCAATTTTTTTTTAATAGAGTTTATTATATACAGTATATGGATGGAATCCATTGGAGTCCATTCATAAATATCTGGTATAGATGAATGGAATCCCGTCTGCTTTGTAAAGTGCTTTGGGAATTAAATTTGCTGGCAATGTAAATTGTATTTTTTTCATTAAATGTCAGTTTTGCTGTAGTGCATTACATACATAGTACAGGTGCTCCACCTGACAAGCGGCCGCACCAGGTGACACCCCACCTGGCGACGTCTCTGCACAGTACCAGGATGAAGCATAGAACTTCCTACTCTCTCAGAGCCAACAGGATCCTTTTCCTAATGCCTCCATCCCTGTGAGGCAGAGGCAGCAGAAGAAGGGGGATGAGTATGAGGAGAAGGAGGGTTGTTTGCTGGCTGTAAAAAGGAGGAGGGGAGGAGGGGTTTTGGAGGTAAAGAGGAGGGTTGTGTTGTTGGCATTTAGCAGGGTTGTGGATTGGTGGTGAGGAGGAGGAAAGTTGGGGCTAGCTTCAAGGGGAACATTTCATCTCTCTATAATCCAAGAGGAAAATCATGTTGGAATCTATGCCACCAAGCCCAAGGGGAGCTAAAGTGCCCCCCTCTAAATGATACGTGGCAAAAGAAGTTCTTCTTGATATCAGGAATGATGGTACCTGGATCCACTGCCCTGCAGGCATAAGTTAAGGGTTAACACCTAATGGGAAAAGGCTAACTGCCCTCCCACGAGGTGGCCTTAGTTTCACAATTGTTGCTAAAACAGGCGAGCCTCTCACTTCTGCGCAACAGTAGGGTGCTCCAAAGCACTCCCTAATTCATTTCCACATTTGCCATAGCTACCATTACATTTATGAGATCTGGTGACTTTATTCCACCATACTGGAGGAGGAAAACCTACTGGGAAAATGTTGATCATCTTCCCACAAAAGGGCTTTGTTTGGCTGAAACTGGCAAAGCTACCCTTTGTGCAGGGCATGCCACTGCACACTTGTGCACCACAGTGGTATGCTCCAAAGCACTCCCTACTTTGTGTCTTAATTTGTCACAGCTCTGATTAAATCTATTTATAAAATATGGACAGGCACGCCTAAGTAAGAAAGTCCAAAGCCTATACACTGCCTTATGCAACAATAAAAGAGGCTGCCATGACATCTAGTAAATACCCTATATTAAAAAAACAAGATTTGCCAGACCTAACGTGAGAGGCTAAAGCTGTGCACACTGAGGTAGCAGTTTTTTTAACAGTATTTTGTAGGGATGCACCGATACTTTTCAGATACCAGTGCCGATACTTGCCATTTTCATGGGAACTACCAGGGTTGCAGCTGGGACCTAGCCCTGGCGCTCCACCACTGTCCTGAAATCACCGATATTAGTCGATATTGTTTTAGAAAATCTGTCACATGACCATAAACAATAATGTATCAGTAGTTGTACTTGGCAAGTATCAGTACTTGTACTTGCAGACATGGTATCGATGCATTCCTTTATTTATATTCCTAAGAACAAAATCATACATTAAAACAGAGATGTACAAATCCCAGGATCTCTGTGTGCTTACAAATGACAGCTGCCTCCTAACTTTTGAATTTTTCTCTAGTCTAGTCTTGGAGCTCAAAAATTATCTGTACTTGTACTTGTACCGAGTACGGTACTTGGTATCGGTGCATCCCTAGTATTTTGTATTTTTATATGTATATTTAAATTTTTTTCATTTCTCTTTTTTTATTTTATTATTTTTTTCATTGCAAGCCCATCAATGCATTCTGCCCACTATCTTTAAAAAACACAGCTAGTCCTGAGCCTAAGTACCACCTTGTCCTTATGCAGAACTTTAAACAATGGATTAAATGCAGGACAAGGGCGCCAGCTCAGACATGAGTCTCTCAGTGGTGATGGTGGCAACAAGGAGTTCATTTGGCATTATCTGCGAATAGTTCTCTGATGTAAAACAGCTTTTGGGTTGTAGAACTTGCATAGAAGGTTTGCTGCTCCTGCAAATGCACAGTATTTACCATCTTTTTAACGAACAGTGTTTGCATTCCCAGCTATGAGGACAATGCATGACAACCATTTTCCCACCACTGCTCTCACGACTGTGTCTGTCCCCTACCCACTCCCCTAACAGTGCCTGACCTCCATTTACACCCCCTCCTCTAACAACTGCAACTGACCCCCACCCTATCACCTAACTATGATGCCTAACCCCCATGCCCACCCCCTTCTCTATCCACTGCACCTGGCCCCCTCCATCAATCAGCATGCCTGGCTTCCATTCCTAAACCCTCTTCTACCATTACACCTGACTGCCATCACCACCC